TGGGTGACAGAGTGAGACTCCAACTCAAAAAAAAGAAAAGAAAAGAAAAGTCACAGAAACAAAGTGGGGGGCAGTGCTGGAAACCACCGTCTTATGGAAGGGACTCTTGCCAAGCCTTCTAAGCTTAAGATGCCGTGACAATCCCAGGGTGATGTCATTCTAACTTCCTTAAAGTAAGAAGCGTCCAAGAACAACATTCCATTACCAGCTCCAGTCCAGACTCGCAGCCCTTGTGTGAGGAATTCTGGGTCCCCTTGATGTCACCACCAAGTGGTGACTTCTTTCTCTCCCTCTAGCATCTGGTGAACTCCTCCTTGTCTCTCACAGCTCAGCTCAGGTGTCACCTTCTCTGAAAGGCCTTCCTTGACCTGGCTCTCTACGTTGGCTGGGTTAAGGTGCATCTCATCTCTGCCCACTTCTACTATTGTTTAGCCACGATCTCTGTCCCCTGCCCTAACACTGCATTAAGAAAAACTCTACCTGGAACAACTATCATAATACTATAAGAAAGGGATGGGCAATAGTGGGAAAATGCCAGAGAAGTGGGGGTGGGATGGGGAGTTGAGGGAAACTGTCAGGGGATGAAGGGGCACACCTCATCAACAAGGGTACCTGCATAATGAAAATTTGTACACCTAACCCTGAATTATACCCCACATCATTAAAATAAAATTTTTTTAAAAAGAAAAACTCCAGACAAGGGGTAATTCAGATGCACACTGTGTGGCATTTAGGCCCTGGCAGGAACAACCTTAAAATAATTAGTGCACAGGCTGGGTATGGTGGCTCACGCCTGTAATCCTGCACTCTGGGAGGCTGAGATGAGAGGATTGCTTGAGCCCAGGAGTTCAAGACCAGCCTAGACAACATAGCAAGACTTCACCTCTACAAAGAGTAAAAAAATTAGCCAGGTGTGGCGGTGCACATCTGTAGTTCTGCTACTTGGGAGTCTGAGGCAGTAGGATCATCTGAGCCCAGCAGGCCGAGGCTGCTATAGCCCTAAGTGTGCCTGTGCACTCCAGCCTGGGTGACAAAGTGAGATTTTGACTCAAAACAAACAAACAAAAATAATTGGTGCTCAATAAGCATTTATTGAACTAACATTTAATCAATGTTAGTTCTCTTTGGCTCCATATTGAAGTTAATAATAATAATAATAATGAAACAAAAACTCCCCAGAGATGTGAAGTTCAGGGAATATAACAGGAGGAATCCTGGTGATAGAACAAGTAAGGCCCTGGTCACCATGGAGTGACTCCTCATCTGAGGAAGCTGAACCTGCACGATGTCTGCACATTGCAGTGGGCAGAGGCTACTTCCAGCAACAGATGGGGGAGTCTTCACCTCTCACTGCTTGGCCCCTGAGCATTGCATCCTAGGCTTCTGAGCTTCTGAGTCTCTGCACTATTCGTCTTTTGATTCTGATGAGAGGTGCATCTTCGTGCCCAGGAAGTAATCTCCTATTGCAGCCAGTCCATAGGAGATGAGGCCCAGAAAATGACTGTGGGAAGCACGGAGCCTTAAAGAACTGTGTGTGAACATTATTCTTGTAAATGATTGTTGTACATCTGTATACACAGTACCCATGGAATGTCAGCCTCACCCAGGTCAAATGAGACAAGTTCAGCCCCTAGCCCTATGCATAACGTGCAAGCTACTGGGAAGACTGAATGAAGGACAGATACATAAACTGCCTGGGTGCTTTGTAATCTCCACCTGGACCAGAAACCCCCATGGTCTAGGGCCAGATGGTGTCTGGGATCTCCAACCCGTACGGTCTCTGGTTCCCTGAGGGTGTGGGATGGAGTTAAGCTCTCCCCAAAAGAAAGAGCTCTGTCTCCTGTGATTGAACTGGAACTTCCCAAGGGCTGGGACCTCAGGGACACCCTAAAGAGGGAAAGCAAAGCTTCTCAGTGCAAGAAGCCATGTCTCACAGACAACATGTGTATCATCCATGCAACGGCACTCAACCTCAGACACACACAGCCTCATACCGGCACTGGTCTTCAGACATGTGTTTGCAGACCAGCCCAGAAACACGCACGGTCTACGTGTGACCTCAGACCTATACAGCCCCCTCCTCAGACAAATGCTCACGCGCACTCACCCCCACACCCATGCAGCTCCCACAAAGCTTCATACAGCCATACACCCATGCACCATGTCCTCACACATTCTGTGACTCATATATTCACACTCACACTATAGCATCCACTTCCCCACACAGACTGCACACTCCTAAACTCTTCGAGTCTTCTCTAGGTATTTCGTTAAGTTACACAGGAGAAACAAGTGAGCCATTACAGCAGAAATGCAAAAAAAAAATTATATATATATATATACATATGACATTTTATTTTTGGATATGCTTTTAGTTGCCATGGCAGTCCCAGCACCATGAAAATTGTGATTGGTGATAAATGCAGATTTCCAAAGAGAGTAATTAGCTCCTCATAGACAGGAATTTGCAAAGATGTCTAGTCCCCTCCCTTGTCAGGCCACTCCAGGAGGAGCGGACACCAGAGCAGGGCACCCAACGTGAGTCTGACTGCCAAGCCAGTCCCGGGAACAGCCTGCAGCTCTCTCTCATCCTTGGGCAAGGATGTCCAAGTTGTTGGTCGTGGGCTTCCAAGCCCAATCCATTTAATGACTTGGAACTTGCCCACAGCTTGGCAGGAGCATGGCACTAGAGATGGCCACTCACTGTACGGGACAATTGCTCCTGCAGATCAGCTGGCCTCTGGTACCCTCCATTGCAGCACTCACGATGTACCAGAGAAACACAGCCGGGGGCCAAAAATGGAGCTGACTCCTCCAGACAGAAGCCATCTCACCAAAATTCCCCGTCCCTAGTCCTGGCTGTCTGACTCAGTGACAGGGAAGGCCATGGGGTCCTTCACAAGTCGACTGACCACCCAAGGCCAGCTCGTGCAGTACCCTATGTTGGCATGGTAGAAGGTAGACCTGCCTCTTCCCCGTTTAACTAGAAGCTTCTCACAGATAAGAGACTCCTGAGTCCCCAGTGACCTTTTGCACTCTGGAACCCACAATAAATAGCTGCTGAAAATGGCTTTGACCCCAAATTAACTGGTTACCTCATTTCCTGATGAGACTCCTAAGGGCAATTAATTTCCAGAATTTGTCCTCTAAGGCCATTTGCCAATTGTTTTTATTATCATCATCTGAAAGGTCACCTGGGAGGAGCTGGTTTTTGAGCCTGAGTCTTTAAATTAGCACTTTGGGCTAATTCCTGGACCCATATTAGTGTCCTTGTCAGCTTTTCATTCCAATAGGTGGAATGAAAAGTAGTGGGTGACCCTCCCACTTCCTTCAGAGCTAAAATGCTCCTTGAGCACCAGTCAGATGCTCTTTCAGAGCTCAGACCAGTAGGAGCCACTCTGAGCCTCCCAAAAAGTGATGCTACCTTGGGTGTGCCCTTTGGGTCCTCCATTATCTTTACCAACCCTTAAGATGGAGAGATTGCTATGGTGATGTGGTTAAGAACTTAGCCAACCAAATCAGATCACTCAATTCAAATCCTAGCTCTGCTACTTAGGGGCTATGTAACTTTAGGCAAGTGACTTAACCTCTCTAGGCTTCAGTTTCCTCATCTGAAAAATGGGCCTCATAAGAATAGCCCTTCTTAGGGTTATTGTAAAGTGTTAGGCATGAAACCAGTGTTGTGAATGCTATCATTTTGCATTCTTTCCTTTTGCATTTAATAGGCAATGGTTTAGCATCCTCTCTGCACTGATGGATGCTGGAATGAACTTAGAGTAGGATGGGGGCAGGAAGTGCAGAAGCAAATCCACCAAATACAGTCCCACAGAGCTCAGAACCAAACTTGGAACTCAGATATGAACACATGAGACAGAGAAGAAGACTGCCCCTACTCCTTCCACTGAAGAATCAGTCTGTTTTTGAGGGCATCTGAGAGGGGAGATTTGATTCTCTCCTTCCATGCCATCAAATGCATTCCTTGTTGTTTTTTTTTTGAGTTGGAGTCTCACTCTTGTCGCCCAGGCTGGAGTGCAGTGGCACGCTCACGGCCACCGCAGCTTTGACCTGCTGGGCTTAGGCAATCCTTCCGCCTCAGCCTTCCAAGTAGCTGGAACTACAACGCATGCCACCATGCCCGGCTAGTTTGTGTGTGTGTGTGTGTGTGTGTGTGTGTGTGTGTGTGTGTGTGTGTGTGTGTGTGCGTGATTTGTTGTAGAGACAAGGTCTCACTAAGTTGTTCAGGCTGGTCTCAAACCCCCAGGCTCAGACAATCCTCTCACTTTGGCCTCCCAAAGTGCTGGGATTACAGGCCAAGCCACTGTGTCTGACCCAAATATGTTCTTAAATAGATCTCTGTGCCTGCCTCTGAGGAAGGGAGGTATATGGATACAGTCTGGGT